GTCAGGGGTGAGCATTACATGTAAACACTTAAGGTTAAAGTATGTTCTGCAGAGTACACAAAAATCTATGTCATCTGTGACTATAGCAGTATAAAGTTCTATAATCCATTGAAATGTCAGTTTAACTTAAACAATGGGAAAAAACCCTTATAAATACAATGATGTATAAAATGTTGTCAACAAATAATTCTCTATGCAAAAAAAAAAAGAGTGAAAAAGCACGAATGACCTTGCTCAGCCCCTGCTGCAGAAAGGGATCCAAGTGATGCCAATAAAAACCAATGAAGAGTCCATCCCTCAATTCTTCACTTATGTAGGGATCTAAACCACAACCCTCAGTGCAAGATCTACAAGCACATCACACAACCATTCTTAAGACATGCTCTCTTGGTGTCTGTCTGCCATTTTCTACAAGGGAATCAGAAGGCCTAAAAAGAGCACAAAATACAGTACATCTCTAGTAACTGACTCTCTGGATTAACAAACACTCTCCATTCCCTCTATTAAATATTCAGACTGGACCATGTGAACTGAATAGTGCCAGTGCACAATCCTGCCCTTCCCTGTTGAGTTGCTTGCCAAGTTAACTGTCCTTCTTCACAAGCTTTTTTATACCACCTGTTGGTATTGTCATGAATTAAATATTACAAAAACTAATGGAATAATAATTATTAGGACGAAGGTCTTAAAGAAATCTAGTCCCACTCTCTCATTTACAAATGAGAAAACTGAGGTCCAAAGAGGGTGCTCACCATCATACAAATAGTTAAGGGTGGTAGATCTGGGACTAAAATCAATTGTATGAAATTCTATTCCAGAAATCATGCTGTCTCTTTCCGCATTGACAGTCTCAAACATATATCATCCTGCTTTAATTTAAATTGTACTGTGAGGGACTTCCCTGGCGGTCCAGTGGTTAAGACTCTGTGCTTCCAATGCAGGGGGCACAGTTTCGATCCCTGGTTGGGGAACTAAGATCCCACACGTCGCGAGGCACAGCCAAAAAACTAAAAAAATTAAAAAAAATTTAATTAAAAAAATAAAAATAAATTGTACTGTGAAATATTCCATTAATCAGATTCTTCAGCCAAGTATTCAGACCTCTAGGCCCCATTATTCATTCTGTAGGTGGTTGTGAGATGTGTGTAAGCATGTAATGGTCATTAGCTACTTTTTCATCTGCTCTACATCCCTTCCCCTTGGGAAATGCCCCTCCCTCTCCCTATGCAATAATGGTAGGGTTGTTATTTTCCCTGCCACAGGGTGGGCTCATGACGCAGGCCAAAGTGCACTAGTCTCCTAGACACAGCAGTTGGTGCAAACTTCGCCTCTTAGAGTTCTTTGGAGGAAATGATTTGGGTGTTGGGGAAAAGGGTTATTTCTTCTGGATCACTAGCTGGGTGGATGATGAAGTTGCCAACAGCTATCTTTGCCATCAGGTAATGAGACACAACAAAGAGAAAAATATTACGGAATATCCACAGCCTCTATTGATATTGATCCATAGACTCTCAGACCTCATATGATTAAAGTGGGCACTAGACTCAAAAGTCAGCAATTTTCCATGTTGAGGCAGGAGATAGATGGGCCCCAGGGTGAGCAGCCAGAGTTCATCCCCTGTGGACAGATACTCCAAAATAGCAGGAGGGAGAAGAGCTAAGCCCTGCCCAGATAAGAGATAAAAGACCACATATTCCTCATTCTTGAAGTCAAGGAGACCTTCTCCACTACACACGCCCAGAAAGGCTCCCTGAAGGTCAAAAAGGGAGGGGGTGCTACCCCATAGTAAGTGATGCCATCCTACCCATACACCTCTTCGCTGGAATCCATCTTGGCTAAGAGATGCACGCACACACACATGGGAGGACCCTGAGATATACCGATATGGACTCAGAACCAGACAAAGCAAGATGATTGGCCAAAGGAAACCCAGAAGAAATGCCCCATAAAAGTGATTCAAACTACCACGAGGACACAACTCTCTCTCTGAGCTCGCCCATGTGTCTATCCACAGGTACTCTTTTCCTCCTAATAAACACTTGTTTCACTACTTTCCATCTCTATGTGGAAATTCACTTCTACAACAGCTGATGGACCAGGGCCTTGTCACTGGCCACTGGTCCCTTGTGGTCTAGTGGCTAAGATTCAGCACTCTCACTGCCACGGCCCAACCTCAGTCTCCGGCCATGAACCAAAATCCTGCTTCAAGCCACTGCAGGCTGAGGCCACCCAAGAGCAATGTGACCTAGTATCAAATGATGAACTAGGACAACCAGGTTTTCTCTCAAAAATGTTAATTATAAAACATAGAAAATATTGAACAGTTAAGGTGAAGGGCCATGAGATAGCACTGGAGCCCTAGTGGAAAGAGAATTGTGAGGGAGAAAACAAGGAGACATAGCAGATGTCATGAAGATGTCACGTAAGAGAGAGAAAAAGAATTGCATATCTTTAGCATTGTTTAGATTCCTCACAGTTTTCCAGTTGGATGCTAACAAGATGCAAATGGTCCATTCATTTAAAACATATTTACTAAGAGCCTGCAAATGTTTAAAATACATGGAAGATTCGATTATTATAGAAAAATATTCACTTTCTCCCCTGCTCCCTCAAAGAAAAAAACATACTTCTCTGCCTCCTAACTTTAGGCTTGGCTAAGTATCTTACTTTGGCCAACAGGATATTAGTAGGTGCTTAAAATGTGTTTCAGTGGTTGCGTTTGCTCTCTTATACCTCTGTCGTCACTACGAGAACATGTCAGCCCAGAATTAGAGGCATGTGGACCAAGCATGCAGCATAGAGCCACTCAGCTGATCACAGCCTATGTCAGTCAACTCCCAGGTGGCCCACAAACAGAATAAATGCTCACTGTTGAATGCAGTTGTGACAGTGTAGTTATTTGTTACTCACTGATACAATACACTGAGGATGAGATGCTGTGGGCCACTTAAAGACTGTCCCTTACTCAGCCTTTCCACAATATGTAACAGTATCTACTAAAAATCAACTAGCGAGAGCCGGTGCAGGAGATGGAGATTAATAAAATATCACCTTTTCCCAGGAAGAACTCCTATTGTAGTGAGAAAGTTGGACTCTGATCAAATGATCATAAAATAATGTGATATGAGGTTCACCCATATAGTGAGCTGAAGGTCTAACTCAGCCAGAGGAGTCAGCAGAGCCTTCACGTAGGAGGAGATTGAAATAGAGGTCTGAAGGATAACAGTCATTCATCAAGTAGAGAAGTAGAAAGACTCTAAACAGCGGGCACATGTATACCAAAACATTAAACTTCAAAGCATGTGAGGAGTTCAAGTGTCAGCCATAGCTGAAACTTATCCTTATTCTAATGTACACAACAATTCAGAATGAATATAAGAGATGGTCAACTAGAATTTTTACTAGGAATTACTGAAGTCGTCACGATAAGATTTGATTGATCATTTTAAGGCCCTAATTTACTATTCTGATACTTTAAATTTAGTTGATGTTTATTTCACTATAGAAATTTCCTACAGATAATGATCTATGAGGACTTGCATTTTATTATCCTATAATACCATTTGTAACATTAATTGCAAAACCAGATCATTAATGCCCTGCAAAGGCTTTCAATGCATCAGCAAACAAATGATCTTTGAGTTGTCATGACAGCACTGGAAGGCCACTGTATGAAAAGGTGACTCGATACAATTGCAAACAAAGTAACCGCCAAAATACTAAAAGCACAATCTCAAGTAACCTGGCAATAGCTGGGAAACTCTCCTCGAAATATAAGTCAGAAATGGAAAATGTCCTGTTGAATAAAGTGTTCGGCAGGACATCCCAGGCAGAAGCATAACACTGGGATGTAAACAATAAACAGATTTCACTTCAAGCAGTTTGGAAAGAGCGTCAGTGTCGTCAAATCAGAAAATCTTCAAACCTGCATACGACTGAAGTTACCAGCAACAGTAGCAACTTTTAAGTGCTAAAAGATAACCGCCAGTAAAAAAATCAACACACTTAGACACCGAGAATCTCTCTGATCTCTTCAAACCATAAGATAAACACGTAACTTTCGCGTGAAAGCGAAGCGGGAGGGCGCCGGGGCAGCTCTTGCAACTCCCTTCGCTCTCCGCTCCACGAAAGAAACCGAAGCAACACGTGCAACGTCACTGTCCCAACACAGTCAACCATGCTGATCACCAAGAGAGGGGACAGATTTGGAGCTAGAACCAGGCTAGGAGTTAAGAAGCAAGGGGAAGAAACCAGGGGAAGAAAGTAAAACAGAAGCAGGAACGAACAGTATGGACCGGGGAGCGGCGGTGCCACCGACCCTACTGGCGAGCAAGGAGAAAAGTCCCTCAGATGCAGACTAATGTCTAGAAAGGGATCTTCTCCTTCGAGCTGAGTTTCCCAGGACTCAGCCTCGGCTGCCCCCTCCCTGCCCAATGCCACCTGATACCTCCTTTTGGCGCGACCCTTAGGTGAACCAAGGGGGCGCTTTTCAAGAGGCTCCCAGCAAAACTGTGAGGGAACTCCCAGAGCTGCCAAGGGGAGAGTAGCTGCCTGTCGCTTGCGAGGGGAGTGGCCAAAGGCAAAAGTGAGTCGAGAGGGCTCTACCTTACCTGCCGCAGGAGCTTCCACCGGGCAGCACCCAAGGGCGCCGAGATTGCGGGTCCCTGAGCGGCGCTGCTGCTTGTCCGGCCCTCGCCCGCTGCGCGCTCAGCCTGGCCGGCCCCTGCGTCCGCGACTCGAGACTCCATCCGGCTGGAGCTGGCGAGATACCGCCGCCACAGCTCCCCCCTGCCAGGACCTGCCTACTTCTTCCCTGTCAGGATCTGTGACGCCGGGGTTCCCTCCCACTGCCCTAGCGCGCGCTCTCTCCCCGAATTCCGCATTTCCGGTAGTCGCGTCTCCTTAGCAACCAGGGCAGCGCGGCTCTCGCCACTGCACCATTTTGCTGGTGGCCATCTTGAGTGAGGGCAGACCGGAGAGTGAGGGAACTGTGGCAGACCTAGTGCGACGCCGCCTCCTTTGGTTCCCTTCTCTCCTGTTTCATCTCGAGCTCTGAAGACTAGCAAAGAACCAAAAGGCTTATATCTTTGAGCGTTAATGAACCCAGGAGAAGTAAAAAAAATATTCCTGACCACAATAAAGATGGCGGAATCCACTTAGCGCTCGTGCCAGACGGCGGTTACGTAGACGGCGTGCTGCAAACCAGCTCCGGGCGGTTCTGGGTAGGTTGTCGTTCCGCTAGCTGCAGAACGCAGACTTCGGCTGACCGTGACTGAGGTGGGAGCTGCGCTCCTTCCTGAGAGCATCGGGTTCTCCGGCCTGCCTTCACTCGTTTCGGTGTCTAGAGCGAGACTGACTTTCAGTTTGCGTACGTATGGGGGGCGTAGGCTGGGAGTCTCTTCCCTTCACCCCGTCCTCACCCCCACCCAACCATCCCTCAGTCCCTTGGTCCTAGCTTTTTGACCGATGTCCCTTTACTGCGTGGCACATGGTACCGCTCCCTCTCACACTCGGATGCACAGGGAAAACGAACGGTTTCTCCCAGGAACACCCATTCGTCTACCCTGCCCCTATCCACAGCCTTGCCTACTGTCTTTTCCCAGTGGGTGAAAGATGGATGGATGGAGGCTGCGGGCACGGATGTAGTGGTTTAGGGCTTTTATTTTATTTTATTTTACTTTGTTTTTGCTGGTGTCAACTGCATATCCCCTATACCCACTCCCCCGTTATTTTGCTGCGACATAGAAAGAGGTTAAGAGGGGCAGGGGCGTCGTAGCGATCCGAGCTGTGGTAAAGCTGACGCACTATTGTGTAAATACCTTTGATACCGAGGAGCAATTTGTGGAAGACTTACATGATGACATTCAACAGTGTGCAACATACCTAGATTTTTCCTGCCCTAAAAATAGTAGCCACCGTTTATTGAGTGGTTACTACGTGCCAGACACTTCATTAAGATTTTAACATAAATTGTTTCATTCTTAGAATAACTATTTCATAGAGTAAGTGGGATCATTATCTCTGTTTTGCAGATGATGAAACTAAGCACAGGTGGTAAGTGCAGGAATGAAGACCTGAACCCAGGTTTCTCTGACTTAACTACTTACTAGCTTTACTTACCTTGATAGGTTAATAAGCACCAGCTTCCCAACAGAAAACAGGTGGCGTCACATTTCATGTGTGCCTCCTGAAGTGTTTTTTGTTTTTTTCAACTAAAGAGCTAAACACCTTTTTGACATTAAAGTCCAGTTGTTGTTATGTCCAGATAGACTTATTGCTCTACTATTACTGTTCAGGTGACCTGGGGTAGTTGCTTAAACCTTCCTGAGCCACAGTTTGCTCACCTGTAAAGCCAACATCATAATAGCTACTCTATCAGGTCCCTATGAAGTTTAAATTAAATGAAGTATATAAAAGCATGTGGCACGAAGCAAACACTCAATAAATACTAATCCCTTCTCCTCTACCTTTATTAAGTGATTGGACTTTTCCAGTTTATCCTCCACATACAAACCAAAGATAAGTTATGAATTATGTGAAATCAAAGCCGTTTTGCCTTTAAAAGCCCTCAGAGTTCCTGAGATGCCTCCATTAAGTCTATGTATTTATTTGCAAATTTTTATTTTGTTTTTTTGTTTGTTTTAGTTTGCCCATGTGTGTACCAGAATCAGTGCTGTTTGAGCCTGACAGGATTGACTTTACAAATGAGACATTTATGTCACATCTGCCAAGAAGTGTGATTTAAATTAAACTTTAACTTTTACAAGTTTTCAGATACTTTGAGTTATCAGCTGTCTGCGGTTATTTGTAACTGGAGGGGTACACAGCCCCAAAGGGGAGGGATAAGAACTGCAGATCTTAGATGCTCTAAGAACCCACTACTATATAATCATTCCTATGAAAATCATTCATGTGCTGGCAGCCGCAAAGGGAGCATAAACCAGGGACTTTGATATCATGCAGCAGAAGAGCAAATTATTTCTTCAGCCTTTGAAGTATAGTATTCCTCACCTTGGGAAATGCATGCAGAAACAGCATGTGAATCACTGTAACTTCGCTGATCATTATTACAATAGAATAAAATTGAAAAAATATCACCTAACCAAGTGTCTGCAGAATAAACCCAGGATATCAGAGTTAGCAAGAAACATCCCAAGTCGGAACTTCTCATGTAAGGTATGGACTGTTTAAGTTAACCTATGTGTAGGCCTTTAAGATTAATTTTAATTTAAAAATAAAGAATGGGTTGGATATCAGTTACTAATTTTCTCAGTAATTCTGGTTTGATTTTTTTAAATATTCAGGCTTAATTGTAGTCATATATATACGTATAAAAGAATATATACATATATATTTATAGAGCTCTAATGTAATATATAAAACTGTAGATTTATAAAAAATGATTCACCTTAAGAACTCCTTATTGTGCCTGCCAGTGCAATTCAAAGTATAATTTGGCTTTCTAAAATTCCTAGACTAACATAATAGCTCTTAATAAAAATCTAATAATATGCTGATGGTTTTATGAATCCCAAATTAGGAAACTTAAGTAAAGACCATGTAATTGTGTTACTTCTCTGTAAAAAAAAAAAAAACAACGAAAAAGCGATTTGCATTTTATACCACTTGTGTCCTTCAGGAAGATGCTTTCAGACCATTGTACTCTGGCCAGACCCCAAGCTATGGGCATGACCTCAACTTTGAGGACCTGTTGCTCTTGTATGTAGAATGACCACATATCCTGGGTTGCCTCCGGCAGTCTCAGTCTACACATATTTTCCCTATGTTATTATTAATAGTGTCCCCTTTCCTCTCAGAAGTGTCTTGCTTAGGATAGTAAATTATATGTGCATCCTAATTATTTGAGATTAAGCTATTTATGCTGCTCTTTGACACCCCTCCCCTACCTCATACTTGCTATGTTCCTTAGATTCCTTAAATTGTGTTTAGGGGTGATATTCTTGCAATATTTAACGTATTTTGTTATTTTAATATCTTAATTTCTGGTTTTAATCGTTTTGTTACATACTAATATTTTTAGTCTGTTTTGGCTTATTTTTTTATTGTAGTAAAATATAGGTAACAAAATTTTCCACTTTAACCATTTTTAAGTGTATAATTCAGTGGCATTAATTACATCACAGTGTTGTACAACTGTTACAACTATTTGCAAAACCCTGTCCTCACCTGAAAAAAATACCCATTAAGCAAGAACTCCCCACTGCTGCTTTCCTGAGCCCCTGGAAACCTTTAATCTACTTTCTGTCTCTCTGAATTTCCCTATTCTAGATAATTCATATAAGTGGAATTATATAATATCCTTTTGTGTTTGGCTTATTTCACTTAGCATAATGTTTTCAAGGTTCATTCGTATTGTAGCATATCTGGGAAATTTGTTCCTTTTAGTGGCTGAATAATATTCCATTATATGTATATACCACATTTTGTTTATCCATTCATCTGTTGACAGGCACTGAGCAGCTTCATCTGTTTAGAAAAATGATATTTTTAATATTCTCTTCAATTCTTCTGGTTTTTAATTTAATTTTTGCTCTTTTCGTAGCTCATACTTATTTGTTATGGGGAGTTTGGGGGGAGTTTTGCTGTTTGCTTTCAACTTTATCTGTTAGTCCTAGAATTTTAGTCTTTACACTTAAGTCATTCAAATTTTTCTTTTTATAGCATCTTAGTTTAGCACTTTCTGTACTCAAATTTTTTATGTCTTTTATTTCATTTTTATTTCTGTGTGTGTGTATTTGCACACGGGTCCTACTTTAGAAAGATAAACTTTAAAATTTTACCTATTGGACATATTTTAGCATTTAGATCTTTTTACTTTGAATTGTGTTTATAACACTTTGTCATCTTGTACTTTTATCTTAAGTCTTAGTTTATAAATAGTAGGCAGAAATTACCATCAGAGTGACAGCTGTGAGATTAGCTCACACCCTGTGCAGGAGTTGGACTATTTTTTCCCCTCCATTTGTCCCTGAAGCAACTTTTCAGTTCTCTTTCATGGAATCCTGTCACCTGGAAGCTTTAACCTGATTCAGTGACTCCAAGAAAAGGAGCTTTATTAATAATTCTTTCACCTGGTAGTGGTCCTGCTTTCACATGTCATATATCAACCATTCCTTCTGTGAGAAATGATATGTTATAAAAACTGTGGTCTCTGTCCTTTACGATCACTGGGACCTGAGGAAGCTGTGAAGAGACCTGTAGTCAAGAATGCACATTTAAGTAAACATCCAGTCAGTTCCAACTTTGTCCACTCCTATGCGAATAACAAATTAGAAAAAGTAATTAGTGCCTGTAGACAAATTAAAATATATTTACTTAAAGACTTATAAGTTAACTAAAGAGTAAGAGAGGGCAGCCTGTGTAATATCATAGAAATGCCAGAAAGCAAGAGATCTAGCCGTCACTGGTGTGTCTGTGAACTAGTCAGGACTCATCTTTCTGACTGGAAATAGAGAGGGGAGTTTCAACTTGGTGTTCTCTAAAAGTCCTCCAAATGCTAAAATTTCGTGATTTTCTATCTCTACCTTGTTACCTTACCAACAAATTGCCATCTATACATTTGGGACTCTAGTACCAACTCCTGCAGTCAGGCTGTGTGTCAGAAATCCTGGGGAACTTTTTATAAATGCAAGTCCCTGGATGTCACCCCACATGTGCTGGATCAGAATCTCTAATGGCTGAGGCCTAGGGATCTCTTGTTTTGTTTTGTTTTAAGTTCCTCAACTAATTCTGAAATTCTCAGTCTGCCAGTGACAGTGGACCTGCATTTAGGAACTAGACACATTTGTGATCAAATGTTGCTGACCTAAACCTCATTGAATTCATTTAGTTCTGAAGTTCTTACTGGCAGATACTTTGACTTTCCATTTTACATTAGCCACATGGCAAGAGGAACTTATTCCATTACGCTCATGCACCAGCTAGTAATATTCAAAGACTAGCATCAAACCAGATACCACATTTCTTTATCTTTCACATCATCCTATTCTGCTCTGCCTACAAAAATAATTCCTAAAATCTTTGATCATGATAAATTGAATGATATACAAAAGGAAAACCAAGTAAGGAAAAGAAAATGCTTAAACATTTGTTCATTGACTCTCTGCAATATAGATTAGCAGTTCTTACAGTAGTTTCTAAGGTAGATAGGTTGACAGATACCTCCTTCACTGGCACTAGTGATCTATGATTTGTGGGATCACTGGTTCTCACAGGTTCAAAACATCATCAGGAAAATCCAGAAAGAAAAGAAAAATTGTACTCTCACAGTAGTTTTTTTTTTTTTAATAATAGTTCATGAAGTGGGACAGCATTGTAGCTACCACTTCTTTTTTTAATTTAATTTATTTTTTTATACAGCAGGTTCTAATTAGTCATCCATTTTGTACACATCAGTGTATACATGTCAATCCCAATCTCCCAATTCATCACACCACCTCCTCCCACCCCCACCACTTTCCCCCCTTGGTGTCCATACGTTTGTTCTCTACATCTGTGTCTCAATTTCTGCTCTGCAAACCAGTTCATCTGTACCATTTTCTAGGTTCCACATATATGTGTTAATATACAATATTTGTTTTTCTCTTTCTGACTTGTTTCATTGTGTATGACAGTCTCTAGATGTGTCCACGTCTCTACAAATGACGCAATTTCGTTCCTTTATATGGCTGAGTAATATTCCATTGTATATATGTACAACATCTTTATCCATTCATCTTTCAATGGGCATTTAGGTTGTGTCCATGATCCGGCTATTGTAAATAGTGCTGCAGTGAACATTGGGGTGTATGTGTCTTTTTGAATTATGGTTTTCTCTGGGTATATGCCCAGTAGTGGGGTTGCTGGGTCATATGGTAATGCTATTTTTAGTTTTTTAAGGAACCTCCATACTGTTCTCCATAGTAGTTGTATCAATTTACATTCCCACCAACAGTGCAAGAGGGATCCCTTTCTCAACACCCTCTCCAGCATTTGTTGTTTGTAGATTTTCTGATGATACCCATTCTAACCAGTGTGAGGTGATACCTCATTGTAGTTTTGATTTGCATTTCTCTATTAGTGATGTTGTAAAACTTTTCATGTGCTTCTTGGCCATCTGTATGTCTTCTTTGGAGAAATGTCTATTTAGGTCTTCTGCCCATTTTTGATTGGGTTGTTTTTTTAATATTGAGCTGGATGAGCTGTTTATATATTTTGGAGATTAATCCTTTGTCCGTTGATGCATTTGCAAATATTTTCTCCCATTCTGAGGGTTGTCTTTTCGTCTTGTTTATGGTTTCCTTTGCTGTGCGAAAGCTTTGAATTTTCACTAGGTCCCATTTGTTTACTTTTGGTTTTATTTCCATTACTCTAGGAGGTGGATCAAAAAAGACCTTGCTGTG